TTTGCTTCTGGGGAATTAGCCAAGGTCAGCTACTTGCTGACACCTGCAGTTAATCGCTATCAAATTAGTGCCACAAAAGCAGCAGTTCTTCAAAATGGAATAAGTGAAAATTCACCTGTCTGTCCCACTTAACACAACGGGGTGTACTTTTGAGCATTCATGCATATGATTGCTGCCATAACATTGCTATAGCCCTGTTACAATATTTCTAGATCACAAGGTTCTGAACGGTAAAGAGTTGTAAAGAAATTTTAAATTTTAATATGTTACAAACCACAAGGGGAGAGTTAATCATGCAGGGCAGCCTATGAATAATATAATAAATCAATCAATAGAACTGCATGGCACAGATCTCCTATGTATTAAGCAACAGAGACCAGCTCATGTGTTAGTCCAGAAAGGCAAAATGTTTGGGATTTCATTCCCATTAGCCACCAGCAATAAGGGGCACAATGGCTCAGCCGTTAAAGATGCTGGCAGTCCGAATTTGACTTCCGTTACTTGCCACAGCTCCTGCCCAGCTAGCAGTTAGAAAGCATGCAAATGCAAATAGATTAAGAGGCACCACTTCAGTGGGAAGTAACAGCATTCCGTGCACCTTTGGCATAGAGCCATGCCGGCCACGTGACCACGGAAATTTTCTTTGGACCACACAGGCCCCCTCGGCTAAGAAACAGGGATGAGCACCGGACCCTAGAGTCGGACATGGGAAACGTTTACCTTTAGCCACCATCGTTGACTCATTTACTTATTTAAATAATGTGTATATAGCTACTCATCTCACAAAAGTGACCCTGGATGGCACACAATGGCAACCCTTCTCCTCCAAACAATAGCATAATTCATAAAATCATTACAGGTAGTCTTTGACAGATGACCACAACTGACCACAACTTTCTGTTACTAAACAAGATAGCTGTTGAGTTTTTGCCCCATTTTGCGATCTTCCTTACCACAGTTGTTAAGGGCATCACTGCAGCTGTTAAGCTAGTAAGCTGGCTTCCCCGTTGACTTTGCTGGTCAGAGGGTCGCAAAAGGCGATCGCATGACTCCCGGACGCTGCAAGTATCATAAACACACACCAGTTGCCAAGCGTCCAAATTTTGATCATGGCAGTGATGCTTGCTTCTTGTAACCATTGATTTACTTATGGTCGTAAATGTGAAAAAAGGTCACAAATCACTTTTTTCAGTGCCACTGTAACTTTGAATGGTCACTAAATGAATGGTTGTAAGTTGAGGACTACCTGTATACAATCCACATCCTAATCCATGCTTGGAATCAAAAGACCATTCTCAAAACAAAACAACCAAACAATAAAACTCGCTTAAGCTCCTGGCCAAACGGACTTGGGGCCATCCAGATCTACTGGGGGATGTTTTCCCTCAGGAAAGGCAGGACTCAGCAAGGTCTTTTCTTTAAAAAAAAAAAACCTTCCAGTGTTGGAGCATTCACAGCTTCTGGAGGCAGGTTGTTCCACTGATTGTTCTAGCTGTCGGGAAATTTCTCCTTAGTTTTAGGTTGCTTCTCTCTTTGGTTAGTTTCCATCCGTTGCTTCTTGTCCTGCCTTCAGATGCTTTGGAGAATAGCTTGACTCCCTCTTCTTTGTGGCAGTCCCTGAGATACTGGAACACTGCTATCATGTCCCCCCTCGTCCTTCTCTTCATTAAACTAGACATACCCAATTCCAGCAACCGTTCCTTATATGTTTTAGCCTCCGGTTTCCTAATCATCTTTGTTGCTCTTCTCTGTACTCTTTCTAGAGTCTCAACATCTTTTTTACATCGCGGTGACCAAAACTGGATGCAGTATTCCAAGTGCGGCCTTACCAAGGCATTGTAAAGTGGTATTAACACTTCACGTGATCTTGATTCTATCCCTCTTATTAATGCAGCCTAGTACTGTGTTGGCTTTTTTTGGCAGCTGCAGCACACTGCTGGCTCATATTTAAGTGATTGTCCATTAGGACTCCGAGTTCCCTCTCACAGTTACAAGGTATTGTAGAAGGTATTGTAGAAGATGGTGTCCAAATGGATGTGGGGCCTCAGATCACTTCCCCCTGCTCTAGGTCATGCATGGGAAGCTCCAGCCAGGAGTCCTGATCTGCCCCATAGAATAAGTGGCCAAAGCAGAAAGTGTTATCTCCATTCCCAAGCTCCTACCCCCATCTTACAGAGCAATAGTGAATAATATGTTACTCTTAAGCTTCCATGCTTCTTGCAAGCATTGATTTGCTTGTAATTTATTATCTGCATTTCATTCAAAGCAATATCCAAATGAGCCAGTTAAATCCCCATACAAAACTGTAAACTTTAAAAGAACCAATCAGGATCACATCAACTACCTGATAGTGAGTTGCCACCTTCAGTGTGAAAGAAGAGGAAAATTACAAATACACATAGATAATTATAGTAATTGCCTTGAATTTATTTTAGTTTTTGGGCTGGCCCCAGCAGCATCTATGGAGGGGGAGAAAGAAACATTGAAGATGGCACTCATGATTATATGATAGGTGACCTGCTGCTTTTCAATGTGCTTCGTGATGCCATAAAGAGAGGTGGGACTTCAATCAGGTGGTTGTCATCTTGATTTTTTTTTTTACAACCCAGCTTGGTTTTACCCACCTCTTGTTCTAATTCCTGGTTTTGGAATGTGATTCTGATTAGCAAGCTACGGAAATGACCTTGGAGAAGGCATCCGGAAGTCATTAGGATAAGAGGAGCAGAAGAAGCATCAGTTAAGCGTGGGGGGAAAGCATGAAAAAGAAACTCAGACTGGCTCCCCCTGACTTCCTGGGGCATGAGAGTGAGGGAAACACAACAGTTTTGCATAATTCTGTTACTACAACCTAACCTAATCAAATAAAATTCCAGTCATCTTGTGGAGTGCATTTCCTGATCTGGTTTACCTTGCAGAGCAGAACTTAGGCATTCCATTCAAAGGCAAAAAGAACTGAAAATCTTGTGCTTTCACTGGAGGAGAAATGCTGAACATTCAAGCTAAGCCATTGGGCTAGTATGGCTAGTTCATTGTTTAACCAGAAAACCAAAGTAGACAAAAATAGCCCCAGGGGCAAAGTTGATAGGCACTAACATGTCACTTATATTGTTGATTCACTTCCTCCATGTTGCCCTAGCCCACGGGTTGGCAACCTGCGGCTCCGGAGCCACATGTGGCTCTTTGAGCCTTCTCCTGTAGCTCCCAGCCTCCTCCGCCATTTGCAGAGAGAGAGACATAGACAGAGAGAGGCACTTGCGCTTCCCTTCTCTCTCTCTCTCTCTCTCTCTCTCTCTCTCTCTCTCTCTCTCTCTCCCCCTCTCTCTCTCTCTCTCTCACACACACACACACACACATTGAGTGGGGAAAGAGGACTGGCAGACCATGGGCAGGAGAGAGCCAGCCCAATAAGAATGTGTGTCAGCTTGTCGGAGAACAGCATGAAGCCAGCTTGCCAGGTGAGCAGAAGATCGGAGAGAGGGAGAGAGAGGGGGGGAAAGAAAGAGAGAGAGAGAGAGAAAGAGAGAGAGAAAACGCATGCACAGCAGCCTCTATTTCTTTTTAATTAAACTCTTCAATCAAGCTCCCCCCCCCCGGCAACCCCTGCCCTAGCCTAACCCTAACCATAAACTTCTCTATCCAGTCTATCTATTTCTGTTAAGGCCATAACTGCCCAACCTCCTCCTTCAGAGCCCAAACAGATTTTCTTAGTAAACTGGTCATAAATCTCTTTTATGCTTCATCCTACCGTGGATCTGGTTGTACTTGACAGCATAGTACAATTAGATCCACTGTATTATTAAACAAATCTGGTCATATTTATTAGCTGTTAAAATCAGTTACGCAAGAGATGGAAGGGAAGCAGCTATGGCAGTATACTATACTGCCATATATGCAATCACAGCAGTCAGCTGGATGTTTAGATTGGATCTGCATTTTTGTCCTCCCAATGACTCCTTCCCAAGGACCTGAGGTGGGCAGATGTTTTTGTTTGATGGTGTTAGAGGTATTGTCGCAGGTAAGCTGTTGCAAGTAAATCAGCCTTTTGCAATTGGGGATTTTTATCAATGCCAATGATGTTTAAGTGGTGCTCCAAATGTTTCGGAATTGTACCCAAGGTGCTATTCCTATCGATATACCCTTTTTGATTTTTTTTTTTTTTGGGCCACAAGTCATTCTGCTTTTATTTGCAGGTCTTTGTATCTTGTGATTTTCTCCAGTTCCTTTTCTTCTATTCTGCTGTCTCCAAGTGTTGCAATGTTCACTATCTAGACTTTTTTATTATTTTCTTATCTATAGTGAAGACAACTAGCATATTTACTATTGCAAAAACTTCAGTGACCTGGAGTTCAAATCATCAGGTTACTGTATTTTAAATGGGTATTAAATATTTTTTTAATTTAATTGCCCTTGGTTCTAGGGGTAATCTTTACGCATCACTGTGAGGTATTTTTACATACTCTACAGATGGTCTTTGATCTCCAGGGAGGAAGGCAGAGATGGGGAACCAGTGGCACTCCAGATATTAACCAAATAAAACTCCCAGCAGTCTCAGCCAAATGACAGTTATGATAGATAAAGGGAATTCTGAAAGGCCATGAGTTTTTTTTTAATCTTATTTGTTTATATTTATTTTATCTTTTTTATTTGAGTACTAGTGAGACACAGTTTACCTTTCCAGCATGTCAATCTAAAAAAATAATAATCTGTGATTCTAACACAGTGAGCACTAGCTGTCAGTGGCCCTTCAGGCAGGAAACTTCTGGGAATTAAACCTGAGAACGCTGGCTTAAAAATGCTTTGCTACCGAGCTGAGGCTTCTCTCTGTGCTGAATAGCTTTGGTAACACATTTGAGCTGTGTCTCCCCAGTCCTCACTCTCTCCTGCAGATAATGGATGTAGTCGAAGTTGGTTTTTTTTTTTTTTGAGTATGAATAATGCAAGTGGAAGCAATCCCTTCTTCCCACTGCTTGGGTGTTAAAAGCTGCAGGCATACTTCCTACCTCTGGGGGGCAGCACTTTTCTGGCTGTTCAACATATCCAGCTCTTGGGCACTGGCGCGGCTCACAGACATGGTGGAGTTGGTGAGGCGGGTGGTGCGACGCCTGTTGCGGCGGGGGCAGCAGGAGGTGCTTAGAATCCCTTTGCTTCCTTGCTGAGAGGAGAGAGAGGTGCTGCGGCTGGTGCGGTAACCCAGGGGCTCAGTCAGACAAAAATCACTGTAGGAGTGTTCATCGGTAAACTCATGACTCTGCATGTGAGTGAATAATAATAATAATAATAATAATAAAAAAAAAGATTACCAGGGAGGGGAAGATGGAGAGAAGGAGAATAATAATAATAGAAGTTAATGTGAGTGGGCAAACCTATTCTTACTCCCAAACACCCCCTTCTTCCAGCAGTCTGCTTGTATCAGATTACTTAATTAATACTTCATCAGAGTTTTACCCTAGACCAGGGGTAGGCAACCTTGGCTCTTTTATGACTCGCGGACTTCAACACCCAGAATTCCCGAGCCAGCATGGCTCAGCTTGGAAACTTCTCCATTTCTCCTCAGCATGGCTGGCTCAGGAATTCTGGGAGTTGAAGTCCGCGAGTCACAAAAGAGCCAAGGTTGCCTATCCCTGCCCTAGACACTTCCTTCACCTCATGTGTAATTTAGTGCAATTCTAGGATCTACCCCCTTCACTTGCCTCTTCCCCCCCCCCTAAACTAAAAAGCCTCAAATATTGTAACTTTTCCTGGTAAGGAGCCTGCTCCAATGATTTTTAATAATTTGGATTACTTCGTTTTTGCCTTCTCAGCTCAATACTCTTCTGAGAAATACCGACCACAACTAAAAAAAGATTACGAATAGGATATTAAGAATGGTGACACCATTAATTTGTATTAAGGCATTATGATTCCAGCACTTTTATTATCAGTTCTATTCCTGATGACTAAAAATATAGTTTCTGCCTTCCCCCCCCTCCCCGCACTGAAGTGACATCTTTATTGAAATAGTAATAAAACTCCAAGATCCTCTTCTTGGGTCAGTTACTGCCGATTCAGCCACCAACAGCTTTTTATGAAAAAAAAGGTGGCGGGAGTGCACCCAATATCCATCGCTTTTCTTAGTTCACGGCGAGTCTGTTACGTTATTACCATTTCCCCAAGAGAAATGTGTCCTTCAATTGCTGCTCCTTCTTGTTTTAACTATCCTAGTAAATTAATCTTGCGAAACATAATCATTGCTCACTTCTAGTTCATTAGGTTCCAACTAGAGCAGAAAAATATAAAACATATATTTGTATACCTGTAGAATCAGTTCAGACTGTCATATCAAATCTAGGCAGTCATATTCCAGTCAAGATGAGCAGTGTTAAGACAGTAATGAAATTCGGGCGAGATAAACAAAATCAAGGCAAGTCTTTCTGCACCCAAGAGCAAATGAAAACAGGACCTTGGACAGCTCCACGTGAACTCTAGCTGAAATCACTCGCTGAAGGCCTCTTACAGATTAAAGCTTAAACTATATGGACATTATAATGCAGTCTCCAGAGTTATACTCAACTTGAAGTGTGTCTATGCTATCGCCGCCACCCCAGTTACTGGGGGCTACAACTCAGCCTTTCAAGACCTTCACAGGATCCTAAGATTTCTGTCCTGTACTATAGTTTAATAATTAAACTATAATTTAATAATAAACATTAAAAGGGCTGTAACGGACTTAAGGTCGCATCTACTGGCTATCTGCAATTTCAGTTCTCCTTGTTACTATAAAAAGTAGCCAACACTCTACCAGAAGCAATGAAGCCATTACTGGGAGAGGTGGGGGGGGGAGAGAATCTGCCCTACAAAGCCAATGTGATGAGTCTCTCCCCTTTAATGTTGTTGCTTTTATTTCGGGTGAAGTTCTTTATTTTATGTACATATTGTATGCCTGGGGAAAAAACTGCCTAGGAATAAGATAAACACAGTTCCAACCTCTCCCTCAATAAGAAACCCTCTAGTATTTTTGGAACGAAACTCTCATTATTCTCTCTGAGCATCAAAATTGTAGCTTAATATTTTGTAGATCATAAAGCTGGAAGATTGGCTTGCAAGGTACTGGACAGAAAGCAAATTTCATTTGTCAACATATAAATGCGGGCTTTACCCACCCACTTCTGTTTTCCCAAATTCCTTCCATCTCTCCTCTGTTTTGACCCCCTCCTTCCTGTTACTCACTGTAGTTTTTTCCAAGCAGTGCAAGAGATGGTGGTGCTGTTGTTCAAAAGCTGATCGGTTGCGCACTGCCAAGGCATGTGCATCAGGATCTCTGTCCTGGTGAAAGAAGATAAAGGCAGATGGTATATCTGATGGACATACCAGTCCATACCCATTTCGTTTCAACAACTGGTAGCTCCAGCCTGAATATCAACATATCTAAATTATCAGAACCAACATTGGACATGCAAGTGGAAATGTAAAAATGGGGTATATAAGGTTTGAAACCTATTCAGCTTTTAAATATATTTAAATAACTGTATTTCAGATTGCAAGAAGGGTAACTGGGTATCTGAGTGCCTTCCATTGAAAAGAAGGTTTCTGCATTTAGAAAACAATACTGCAGGGTTGGGGTGTGGCTATATTTGTCCTTTCCCATGGACTCCTTTTCTGTCTATAGTGTATTGACATTTTGCAAACTAGGGAGCCTTTCAACAAAGAATGCTCTTGTTGTAATGTGAAGTCAAGGAGCTTATTTAAAATTGGAATCGAGATTGGAAGCGTTTGAGGAGCACTGGATTAGACTTTTAAAGTTATTATTTTTTTAAAATATATTTACATACCACTGTTCATATAATATACCACAAACAAGGTAAACAAATTTTAAGAGTGGGCTTCTATGATGCCTGTGTTAACCAAGATCGAAGCATTTAAGAGCAACAAAGGGAGAAGAATTAGCAGTCAGGACAGAAACCAAGTGGTACAAGACTTGATAGCAATGTGGGAGGCTGCATTTTGCAGCACTTGACATTTCCAAACCATCTTCAAGGACAGTCTGACTCAGAGAATATTTGGAAAACACCAATGCATGAATGACAGCAGCTAAGTTTATTGCACCACAAAAGACATAGCATCTGAATCAGTTAAAGCTGACAGAAAGGCATTAGGACAACAGTAGCCCCAGAAAGTCCAGAACCTATGAATTGGGTCCTTTGATGGCATAGGACAGCATCCAGAGTAGCTGTTTCTTCAGCCAGTCTTCCACTCTCCTTAACAATGAATGTGTTCAAATATAGTAAACTATAATTTGTTGCTATTTGTTGACTAAATGAAAATGGGCTAGGTAAACAGCAACGCATGTGCTCACCCAAGCCAACACAAAACAAATTATTTTGTAGTATAATGCAATGTTTGTTTTATTTGGACAGCACTTTAATTAAATTGCTCTCATTAACGAATGGGACTTTGCACAAAAGGAGCTCGCAGCTTCCCTTAGATTTGATGAAAGGGAGAAGAAATAGAGATGGGAATCTTGGACATAAATCTAAAGCAAATGCCAACATTTCCAATGACCCATTCAAGGGATTTTGTGATTATATTCACCAGTGTGGGAGATAACAGAGAACCAGAATTATTCCCTGGGGAAGAGCATTCCCAGCATTGGTTTCAGAAAGTGACTCCATGGTGAAAGCATTGTTTTAAGGGTGGCCCAAGGATGTGTAACTGCTGGCCCTGAGGACGAACATGGTACTCAGCCTAATTTCAAAAGCCCTCTGACAACAATCACATCAACTTCTCTTTTTGCCAGAGAAGAGACAAGAGTCCTTTTGCCAGAGGTCTAGACTGATCATTTGCAGATTGTTTCTGAAATTAGGCTAAGTGCTGCCTCCCTCCCCATAAATAAAGTAAATAAAATGGGGAAACAGAAAAACAGGTCAAGAGAGAGAAAACAATAACAGATGTGACAGAAAGTGGAGGGCCAAGAAAGGGAAAGCGAGCTGGTTATCTCCTATCCTTTTTCTTTTTCTTTCCTTATCTTTCGGCAACTAGCTCTGCCTAAAACTATCTTTGGCTTAACATGCAGCTCTGGCAAATTATTCTCCACACTGATGGAATGCAATGGAGATTACAGCCCAGCTGTAGTCAGCCCCCAAAATCAAAGGTTTAGGTTTGCTAATTTTGACTGCAATAGAAAAAAAACTGAGCATATTGGCCCAAGTAAGGAGGAGGAACAGCACTTTCCCATTCACACGGATCCTTGGTTTCCTTAGCTAGGAAAAGTCAACTGGTTTAAGAAAGCAATCTGTGCCAATGGTTTTAAGGATGCCCAGCCCGGCATGGAGAAAACTGAGGGCACCAAGGTGAACAGAGAACTGAGTTCATACCCCAAGGCCTCCACTCTGCTTGTATCGAAGAAAAGCGTTGGTAGTGCCACTCTTGGCCAGTCGTATTCGGGTCAGGCGAACTTTCTGTAAAGGGGGAGAAACACAGAGAACCATTTGTGGAATGTCACAGATAATTGAGCCCCCCCCCCCGTGTCTGTGGTTTCCTCCTCCCCTACTCCTCTCAAATCTACCTGCTGAGCTCGTCGCTTATCTGCCCTCTGATTCTGGTGGTAGATACGGCTGAAGTTGGAAACAATGACAGGTACAGGAAGGGCGATGACCAGCACCCCACTTAGAGAGCAGATGGATCCAAAGATCTTCCCTGCAATGGTGCTTGGAACCATGTCGCCGTAGCTGCAAGAGATACGACAGTTACTGCAGCCCTTAAGCCATCTCACAATTGCCCACATGAACATGTTACGCTCTGTCTTATAACACCCGGAAATGAACACATTCCCCCTACCAACTAGTGCCTTTTAGATAGGTTGAACCTCAATTCCCATAACCCTGAGGTAGTATTCCACTGGATTAAAGGAACTGAAATCCAATGCATCTGGAACGTTATTCTTGGCCAGTGTTACAGAAGGCTGGGGAGAAAATAGCTGACTGCTCAGTAGCATAATCAGGACTTTCAAGTCTGGAATCCAAGACTATGCAGTCTGCCTCTGTCCTCCCACCCACCAAGTAATCAAAGACTGGCAAATAAGAAACCGGACTGTCAGTTTTGCCCAGCAAAAAGCATTGGGTATACTGGGGATTCACCAGGATCGCCATTGTTCATTTAAACATCTTCCCTTCCTCATTAGAAAAATAAACCTTTAGATTAGGAAGTATTATCTCTATTCCTTTCTATATATCACCATTCTGACAAAAAAAAAACCCAGGTCTTATTCCAAAGTCAGTGGGTGGGTTTCACAACTGAAGCCAGGCTCATTGCCTTATCAAAGGAGCCTGCATAAGATCATTAAGTTCAGGTTCTCAATCAACAATCAGGCTGTGTATATTTGTAGATTTGGGGGGGGGGGGCATCAAGTGTGTGTGTGTGTGTGTGTGTGTGTGTGTGTGTGTGTGTGTGAGAGAGAGAGAGAGAGAGAGAGAGAGAGAGAGAGAGAGAGATATTTTGGATGAGCTGCTGAATTTTTCATTGACCCCTCTAGTCTAGCACACTGTTAAGAGCAGCTTGATGTAAAAAATCAAGCAAATGAAAAGATCTTGATCCTTTGATTTCCATGCTGTGAAAATGTTAAGTTGTGTGACAAGCTGCTATTAAGGACCCAGGAGGATGACTAAATAATAGTGGTGACATATCTATTAGATAGTTTGGGTTGTGTGTGTTGCATAAGGATTATGTAAGCACGGGACTGGAATTTTTAATTCACATAAACTTGAACTTTCTTTGATCGGTACAAACTTCCAATATGTTTCTATTAAGGGGTCTTTTGTTATTCATTTCACTGTTCTGGTCAATTCTGTTACCATATGTAGTTTCTGAAAATAATTGCTTGAATATCTATACTAATTATGTAGGTTTTGAATATATTTTACAAAAAGGAATGATTAAATTTGTATTACAAATAAGTTATTTATGGTTTAATCATACATTTAAATGTTTTTTTAACTGTGACTAAATTTACAATATTTAAGTGGCACTCTATTAGTTATTCAGATAATAGCTTCTAGGCTGAGAAGCTAAAGAGGAATGACCCTGGTTAATAGTTGGAGGGGAGTCCTCCAGAATACCAGAAGTGTATCCTAGATTAAGAAGTTGAAAAAACATCTTCAAAGAAGGCACTAGTTGATCACTTTCATGTCATTACTGGGGAGTAGAACCATTGGTGGTATAGAAGGATGATAGGAATTCCATCATTTTTTATATATGGAAGTACTGTAAAGAATTTCTTTACTTGTAAAGTGAGTAGAAAAACAATCTCTCCCAATCTGGTGCCTTCCAAATATGTTGGCTTTCAATTCCCATCATTCCCATTTAGCATGTGAAATAGGGATGATGGAAGCTGGAATCCAATACATTTAGTGGAATTGATTGCAAAAGTTAGTATAAAATTATCTGATGCTCTACTTGTGTCTATATCAATAGACTCATGTCAATGAGAAGTGACTGAAGACATATGAAGATAAAGTTCTACAAATAACCCCCCAAATTCAGCTACTTTCATTGGCCACTAAAAATCAGAATGTACCAAGGTAGTAAAATGATATCTGCTTTAGGAATAAGCAGAATTTAGATAGATAGATGGGATTTTGAATGGTATGTTTTTGAATATTTAGTCCCAAAAGAAGCTTCATGCAGCCACATGAAACCAATAAGCAAGTGAGCATGCTTAGAACTAATAAGAATATTATATGACTCAATCTATGAATTTTACCATTTCGCCAACTCTAATCCCACTGCTACAGGAAGATTTAAATCTTCAGCCTGATTCTTCAGGAGTAAAGGTAATTAACGTTTCATTTCATGATTGCCTACCTCATTTTGAAACTGATCTTTCCTCCCCCTAAAAAGAGATCTTTACGTGTATAAGTCTGATGCAGAGTACCTCGTCCTTGCATCCTCCATATAGCTGGGATGTAATCTTATAATTCCCACATAAGGGCTACAATAATCTAATTTATTAAACTTGTATGCCACCCAACTCTCAATGACTTTGGGCTATGATGGATGATGAAGATGGGAATGGTATTCTAACATATCTAGAGGACACTGGAGTTGGAAAGGCAAGCCTGATACATCAATTAAACCAGTTCAAAGAATATTAACCCATCTAATACAGGCAGACACATTTCAAATAACAATCACTATTTTTCAAGCATCAGTCTCTTTCCACCCCTCACTCCCCTTTATCCACCAGCATCAGACCTTAAACCTTTCCCCTCTTTTTCTTCAATATATAAATGCCTCTAAATATACAACATTTGATGATCTAGATCAGGGGTCTTCAACCTTGGCCCTTTTATGACTTGTGGACTTCAACTCCCAGAATTCCTCAGCCAGCGTGCTGGGAGTTGAAGTCCACAAGTCATAAAAGGGCCAGGTTTGAAGACCCCTGATCTAGAGGGACAAATTCCCCATCACCACTCACCCACACATATCCCAGTGTTTCTGGCAGTATGGCTTCATGGGTGAGCTGGACATCTTCCCACGTAACCTTCTTTCCCAAGGTTCTGTAGGTGGAGCTGCTTCTCCACCAAGGTGTGTCCTCCTCCGCAAGGATACCACCTAGCTGTCATTTCCAGCCCATAATGGAGCAAACTCCACGCAACCAGTTGACTTAAGAACTGGGAATCTATGGCACCTGTCAGAGAACAGCAGGTTCCAAGAATTATGGCCTTAATAACTCTTTAGTTCTCTTCTGATGAATGGGCTCATGGGAGACCATTAATAGGACCAATGCTGGGGAAAGAAGGAGGGGAAGCAGGTAATTGAATATTAAGACCCAGCAGAGACCAGAAGGAATGAATGAATGAACAAACAAATGGGGGCTGGATATTTTATCCAACTCAGCACTGTTTTTTCCAAAGGATTTCCAGAGCTTCCCTGTACATTCACATTCGGTTGGGTTAAAGAATCGAACTGCTTTCACTAAATTTTATAGCTCTGAATCCAAGGGCCTTGTAGTGAAATATAGGCAGTTTAAATACCAAACATACAAGTATGCTGTTAGAAAAGAGTCTCTACTAGTTTCCAACATGCATTGTGGCTTACTGGAGCAGATCAAGGACAGGTGGTTTGCATGCCAACGTTGGAACTCTCAACTCCAACTATGCATGCAAGCTGAAAATGTTCAGCCTGGTAGTGAGTTAAACACATCTTTCTGCAAATTTTAATGAACGCTTACACTTTATGTCCAATTGCGTACAGGTGCGGAGAAGAAACAGTGAATATGGGAAGGGCCAAAGTACTCTTTCAATCAGTCCTTTACCCCTTCTTTGATAGAAATGACAGCTTCCAAATATTGTTCACGGAAACACAAATTTGAGCAGAATGCCAAATATTAACATGCAACTGTACCACACTCTCCTTCAATTCTATGTACTAATCAGTCAGCCAGCACTGGTGCTCCTGGGAGATTCCATTTATTTTCATATTGTTCTCAGTAGTAATTAAGAACTGTATTCCGTTTTTTAAAATCCAGAGATGGGCAGTCTTTTGAGATTCTAACACAGAATGCTTGCCATGGTAAAGTGGTGGTTCATCTTGTCCTCAAGAAGACATTTGTTTGTTTGTTTGTTTATATTATTTATTAATATATATGGTCACCAAACTCATGGTGACTTGGGGCAGCTTACAGAAATAAGCATTGCTAAATCTAATCTTTTGTCTGGTCTCCAATTGTCTCTTATTAGAGAAGGTTGTTGAGAAGGTGATAGGTCTGCAACTCCACAGGGCCCTGGAGGAAGCAGATTATCTGGATTCCTTCCAATTGGATTTTAGGCTGGATTATAGAACTGAGACAATATTGATCGCACTTGTTGGTGACTCCTGGTGGGCTTGGGATGGGGGCAGTGCATCCATCCTGGCCTTCCTTGCTCTTTCAGCAGTGTTCAATGCCATTGATCATATCTTATTTATTTATTCATTAGATTTATATGGCTGCCCATCTCACATAAAGCGACTCTGGATGGCTAACACAATGAAAACGTCAATACAAAATAAAATGCAATTAATAAAGCCACATCAAAAAGAAAAAAATGGTCGGTGAGGGTAAATCAGTCAACAACAAACTCATGTAGCCTATGAGCTCAACCACCTGCTGACCGACATGTCTGACAGACAAGTTGGATCCTAAGAGGTTTGCAGAAGGCCAGCAAGCTTAGGGGTTTGGGGGAAGCATAGTTTATCATAGTTCCCCTTCCAAGGCCAGTTCCACTCAGTTATGTCTGCTCCTGAGCTTCTGCATTTTATTATGCCTCAGGGCTTGACTCTCTCCCTCTTTCTAATATCTACATGAAACTATTGGGTAAAGTTATTAGTCAGCCTGGAGTTATCTAAGATACTAAGTATTATCTATACATTCATGAAAATTAGTTGTACATCTCTGCTTTTTTGCACCCATTCCTTGGGATTCTAGGCATGCAGGGTTTGTGTTCAGCCTTTCATCATATGACAGACAAAACTGATTTATGGGACAGCCATTAGGGCTACTAACTCCAAATCTGAACTGGCCTGAGCAGTGATGTAGTGAAATGACGAAAGAGTGTCTTTCATGGAGTCAGAACCACTCTTGTATTGATTATACCTTTATCTAGTCTATTGGAGCCCAGGGACTGAGAACTGGATTATAATTAGTGCTTATAAACTGGTTTATAATTAGAGTATCAAGCCAATCTT